TTGAACAAGTTTAAATAATTATTGTTAAATTTTTATATTTTTAATATAATTTTGTATAATATTTCATCAACAGAGGGGAAAAAATTATATTTTTGCGCCTTATTGACAAGTGCGCATTATACGCGATATTTAACTTTTATTCGTGAATAAAAGCGTTAATTTTATATTGATCATCATTCTGATGATTTTATTATATTAAAATAAATAATTTATTAATGTTAAAGTAATAAAATAAACCAAAAAGTTAAATATTAAAAAATAAATGTATTATATATATTTGGGTAAAAATAATAATAGTATTGATGAAAAAAGAAAGCACGAGTATTGTCCTTTCGCTCGTTTGACTACAAAAGACATTTATATGGACGACTTAACTTTGCTATTTGAGTGTTAGGAAACCGGAGATGGGAGTTATTTGCATACTTAGAACAGTTGGAAGTTGCAACTGCCGCTTAGATAATACAATTATATATGTTTTTCCAAAAAAAAAGGGGGGGAATGACGAGATTGGGAGAGGAATCGCTAGATGCAAATAGACGTCATTAAAGGAAGACAGGAGAGGTTGACAAGCTCCAGGGAATGAGAATAGACGTGACACCTTCCACGGTAATCACAGAGTATGTCGCCTGGATTAAATGGACCTCCAATGACAGATGGAGGTCAGGAGTTGAAATTTTCATTCCTGTGCAAGAGGTAAAGTTAAATCCCTGCATAGAGCCTTGGGATAATCCCATCAGAGTGAAGCAATCAAGAATTTCCATGTTTCGTTACAGAAGATCCTCCTCCTCTTTCTCTCTCTCTCTCTCTCTCTCTCTCTCTCTTTTTTTTTTATATNATAATAATGTATCAATTAAATTAAGATTTTACGTAAAAATACATAAAGTAATATAGAAGTATAGTAATAAATCTAAGCTTAATATATACATGAGACTAATACATCTGTGATTATTGAATATGCACTAAATAGGATTACTTTGTAATTCTTTTATTTTCTCAAACTAATTATTATTCACAGAAGAACAGATTAAGTCATATTTAAGTATTACTTGAACATCTTTCTTCGCTTATGTATCAATAATTAAATCATTGTCTTCCACGCAGAAAAATAGAGCTGCATTAAAGGCTGTGTAGCTCATAAAGATTTTCATATCTTTTTCATGCTTTAAGAACTTATTCCAGAAATACCCTTTCTATTTCTACCAAAGGCTTTCAATCATCATAAAGCTTTGTTCTGTTAACAAAGGAAATATCTTGACAATTTACTTTTTGGTACGACACTTCTCTCAGCTTTAGCAGCCCGGAGAATACAGACTGCAACGATTTGGCTAGCTGAAACGATTAAAATGTAATAATAATCAATATTGGCATTTACTTTTTAATCTGTTAACACTATTTACCGTATTTTTAAAACTGATCGTGGGTTAGGTTTGACGGACAATTGATCAGCTGGGGGTAAGAAGGTGCTGAACATATCCGGAATTAAATACTCCCTTAAAATATCAGATGTTTTCTAAAAGTACTCAACGTGCAATAACTATACATTTACAAATAAATATGGGTGCTGACAAGAAAAAAATCAAATCGAGTTGCCATTATTAAAAATCGTTGAAACACACTGCTTTACCGTTCGGCTAATCTGGCCGTCTTAATAATCATTTCTAATTTATAGATGCCATGCAAATCTATATCTGTATATAAAATTATCTACATATTTATAGAAATACCAGTCTAAGCACACGACGTAGCGATAGAACTGTAACAAAGATGCTTTTTTTTCTTTTTTTTTTTTTTTGATACTATCGCTAAAAATAAAATAAGATATTTCAAAGAAAAAAAAAATATATATCAAAATTGCATTTATTCTAAGCAATTTCTTCTTTTATTTCTATAATTTCGACAATAAATGTATATTTTTTTTATTCTATAAAATGACTTCGAGTGTGTTATAAAATAATTTAAATTTTTAGATACTTAAATAAATTAATAATTAATTTTCTTAATTCTTTTGGTTAAAGAAAAAAAAATTGGATAAATTTTGCTTACTTTTCTTGACTAATTTATAAGTAAATATATTAAAAAATAATAATGATAATAATGATATTTTTAAATTAATTTTTTCTCTAAATAAAAAAGTATAAACTTCGTTAAATATTTTAATTATAAATTATTATTTCGTGAAAATATCGTGATCCTCCTCTTCCCTACTTCTTAATTAAAGGACGTAAATCGTGAATTAAATCTTATTATTATGTATGAAATTTATAAATAAATAAATAAATAAAGCTTGTAATATGTTAATTAATTATTTTGACATTTTATCGTTGATCTAAAAACATTATTTTTTTAAAATATACTTAAAAAATAAGCGTGATATTAACTTTAATAATCTGAGTTTCTCAAGCGGCGGTTCGCGAACCCCATTGTTTACTTTTAAACAATGTTACAATTAAAAGACGAATTGCCAAGTAAATAAAAGGTTGAGGAAACAATTTCTGGAACGTTTAAATTTAAAAAAAAAAAAACAGTAAATGAAAACAGATATAAGCTCAACACTGAATGTAATTTAATGTATCCAGTTTCTCTTACTCATGAATATTTAAATCGTGTAATTTCGAAAAAAAAGGTATAAAAAAAAAAAGAAAAACTGTTTAAAAAAATACAGATTTAAACTAAAGATCAACTTATCTAAGTATACATGACACAGTTTAATTAACACAGTTTTGATATAGAACAAAATTTATTGAGATGTTCCAGAGCAGCAGTTGATAATGTAAGAAAAGAAAAAAAAAACTGGAGGTTTTTTTGGTAGACGATTAATTTTTAAATAAAATTAATAAATTTATTACTTATTAATTCCAAAAATTTACTAATTTACCTAGTTTATAAGGTAGAAAACGTTAGTTTAAAACGGTAGTGACGTGTATAATAAAGACATCTTTTGTCTTTCACATATGTCTCAGTTAAAAATCCAACTTGATAATGAGGTAATGGGAAGGTGGATGATAAATTTTATTCCTGTATCGTGCGGGATTTCTCTTTTAAAAGTCTACAAAAGCCAGAAAGTGGGAAAGAAAATGAAAGCAGTCGACTTATTACCTTGGGAATCTTGCTAATTCCGGGTCTAGCTCTTATCAGACTGCTGTTATTTATGACTGCAGTCTAAGCAATTATCTCAAAATTAAACTAACCCGCTGTGATTGAATGTTATTAGGTATAGCCGTGACGCAGTCTTGCATTCGTTTCTACGCTCGAGTTAACTCGTCCTGCATAAACCAAGCTCATTTTATTACTGGGTCGGGTTTTTTTCAACCCAATCTCATACCCACTTGGGATTAAAGGGTGAAAGTGAATGGTTGAAAAGAGGTGACATTCGCACATCCACATATATAGCCTACTTTTCCATTCTGTTTAACATAAATGTCGACTGATAGTCCATTCTGACAACTTCATTTTTATTATTTTTCTATCATTTTGGAATTTTAACACATCGTTTAATGCCGTGTGTAAACACACGTTTATAAATCTCACCCCATTTTTTCTTTGTGGATTTGTTTAAAATTCTCTGTTGAAAAAAATAATTATAAATGTAGGAAATTTGTATTGTAGAATGATTAACAATTAATTGAAATTGTTACGAATTGTTCTTTAATTTGAGAGTGGAAAAATTGATGGAATACGTGAAAACTCTTTCAATTCTCTAATTCATTTCCTTTTAGAGAAATCTTGCAATTGATAGACAGGTTGACAGAAGTGAAAAAGTGAGTGAAAATATTATATTTATGAAAAAAACAAATCGTTAAAAATACGAAACGTGTGATAAAGTCTTATAAACTATAAAAATTCTATGATATTTTCTGCATTTATTACGGTATTTGATTATAATCTTCGACAACTTTATCGTCAACTTATCGATATAAAAATTTAAAGTTTTCGTTTTAAAATATAATTAAATTTAAACTTTAACGTGATTAAATAGTTCAGCTGTGTTCTTTTTCCACATTTGAATTAATTAATTCTTTCCGCATAAACCAAGCTTGTTTATTACTAACTCTGTGAATTCTTAAAGAAATAAAACTCGTTTTTTATTCTAATTTTTCTAAATAATAACAATTACAATATTACTTATATATATATATATAAAACCGCATTTATTATCAATAAAATATTTTACTATGATTCTCAGTAAGATGAAGCGCTACGTCTGAATTCTGTTTGACAGAAAGATCGATTGTAAGTCTATTACTCTATTGAAATTGAATTTGTTTCGGTAAAAGTTATGCTTAGTAATATATTATAAATAAATAAATAAGTATATTTACAAAGAAAACAATTAAACAAAATATAATAAAAAGTGTTACGCTAATTAATTATATATATTTTTTGACATATTTTCTTTGTAAAACTAAATTTTTATTTATTTATAATTTTATTAGTTTATTAAATAAATATAAGAGATTGTTTTGTTATTTCTAGAAGATCTACTCGCTACTTGATGCCCCTTGATAATGACACTTCATTGCATTACTTGTAATAATGACAGTGAAGTTGATAATTATAATCGATATATTATTAATATTTAAGTTAGCAATTTATTAATTATATAAAATAAATAAAACGTTAACATTTTATACGCAAAACAAATAAGAATTAATTAATTAATCTATTAAATTATCTGTATTAATTGTGTAAATATTATACACCGAGAAATGCATGATTCACACAAAAATTTCCTACATTGTTTCGAAAATTATAAACTATATACATTTATCATAAATATAAAATATATATATATATATATATATATTGTTAATTTATAACTTTACAAAGCAATACTTTAAAAAGAAACGTGTCATATTTATTTTTCCAACAATGTATCAAAGTGTTCATATCGTTAAGTGTCTAGATTATAAGTGTTACAATCGATGCTTACTGTGACAGTGGTACTTATTTTTCTTCATGACTTATAGAGAAGTGAAATTTCTTATAAGAAGTGTACATTATTATTTTTTATTCTTTATTTTTAAAGGCGCCTCTTACCAAAACACCTATATAAGTATTATCTAGTGGTTCATAGATCGCTACTGCTTCGCTCAGTTAGTAATCGAATTAAACAAAATCTAGAAGAACGCAAAGCAGGCGCCCTTCTCTCGCATTCGGAGGCGTGAAGGAGGCATGCCACCTAAGTGAATTAACTCTCGAACCCAAGCATACCTGAGTAATCGCTGGTGTCTGCTGAAGCGAGCCTACGTCAGCTTTCGCAATCTGTCACAGGTGTTTATCATTTTTCTTTCATTGCGTACAAAGAGGCGGTGTGGCAGACAACCCGGAACAATCAGCAGGGACAGAAATACTTGTATTCTCACTCTCCTGCTAAACGTAGCAGAAAGGTTGGGGGTGGTAATTGGTACAAGGCAAAGGCAAGATTCTACAGTCAGTGACAAATATCCAATATTTTAAAATGTAAAAAAGCAAAAGATAGAGATAGGCTCAGTTTTCGAGATTGCATTCATATATTTTTTTTTTTTTTTTACATGATGTGTGTGTGTGTGTGTGTGTGTGTATTTTTACTTCTTGCATGAACGACGAAGTCGATTGAAAAATAAACCAGACACAACTGAGAGAAGATTCGATTACTCAACGCAATTTTAATCACCTTCGTATACAAGTCTAGTGTTTTTAGTTATAAAAAAATGTTATACAAACTTCAGGAAAACTCTTTCGTCGTTGAGGAATATAAATACTTTTTACCTTAGGAATAATTTACGTAGATGCGAGACAAGTATCTGCTTTATGTTAATCCGGCGGCTTCCAGAGAGAAAAGTTGAAGAATAAAAATAAAGAAAAAATTTATATATATANATATATAAACAAGAGAAATTCTATACAAAATATTCTTCTTTTCAGAAAAAATTTATAAGTTTTATATGTTAAAATATGAATAATGTTTCGAGTGAGAAAATTACATTAATCACGACTTCTATCTTAAAAATATTTTAATTTTTATAAACGTATAAATCGATTTTTATCAGTTAGAATTTTATTTTAAATTATTTTAATTAAAGATTTAATGTTTATTTCTGCTTATAGATTAATGATACGTTAACTGTAATAAATAACATTAGAAGAAATGGAATGTTAATTATAATACCATCCTAACTATTATAAATTATAAATAAATCGATTTTACTCTAAAAAACGTGGACTTAACTTACTAAATATAATTTAAATTTTCTTGAAATTATATTTATTAATAAATAAATACTTTAAAAATATATAAAATTGAGACTGTTTTGTATGGAGAATAAAATGATTGCTATTCTTTAATGAAGAATCTAACTTTTCATGTTTTATTTTGTAGAAATTTCATTAGATTTTTATAAAATAAATTAATTTAAATCAATTGTTTAATACGCATTATCGTATAGGCCTATATATATTATAAATTGTACCATTTCAAATACTTTATTCTAATATTTAAACGGAATAAATAATTGTAAACATGTCTATATGAATTAGTTATTAAGTTACTGTTGAAATATAACGTCAAAGGTGATGTTGCCCATTTTCTCTCACCGACATGTTTGTATGTATATATACACGTAAATAACTTATAGAGTTTTTCGTCTTTCATTCAACCAAATTGACGAAAGTAACGGGAGGAAAAAAAAAAAAGTGTATTTTAACAGAATAATTTATTAGAAGACAAGTGAAGTCAACTTTAAAATTGTTACATTCGATTTTTTATATCTCCATGCATATTGTAATTATCTTATATATATATATAATGTTTTATTTATACTCAAGCAGTATGGAAATTCAATCACAGAAATATTTTTTTTAATAAATTATAGACCTATACTTATTTATAAATATAAAAATATAAATACTACAGTAACTATTTATATTTATACATTGTGATTATAAATTTTATAGATTGATTTTTTTTATCTTTCTATAAAATTATAATTACAATCATCGTTACTGATATTTGTGACGATGCTCCTGAATATCGTATCTTATATCTTGATATTTATATTAATCCTTATTATAATCTAGGTTATAATCAAATAGAGATTATCTTAATGATCGTCTTTACAATTCAGATAATCATCATTAAAATTTAAGTCTTTATTTAGTGTTATACAGGTAGTATCATCATTAAAATCTATTTAGATGATGATGATGATGATGATTGTTTACGCATTTTAATCATCTTATTTAGTTTTAGTTTATAATTTATACAATTAAAGTATAGAATTTAAAGTTAGTTTTGATGAACAGAGAACTTTTCTAGTTATATTTCATTGATTAAAGATGGAATATATATAGAGCAAATAATATATTGATATCGATTCAACTTAAATTCAATTGTTGGATCGAATCTACTATAATTCAATTACGTCTTAAATAAAAACACTCTCTTTTATCAATTCAAAATTTTCCAATTCAGTGAGAGAGGGCAAGAAAAAGTTTCATATTTTAGTAAAATAAACGGTTATAATGAGCAAAATATTCCAAAATATAAATAATTTTTGTCATTAAAAAGAAATGTTTTTGTTTTTAATGATAATAAGTTACTTATATTTTGTAATAGAGAGAAATTTTGTTTTTTTTTTTTTTTTTCA